TATATATATATATACAGATTCATCTACAACAATCCGTCTGCCAGTGAACTATAGTTCGGGGTAATTTTATATACATATTCATATAATAATTATGACACTCTGTAGAAGTGACAGTTGCAACTAAATATTCATGGATTGAAGGATCAGCCGAAATATTTCTCGCACGGAAATATTTAATTTTCGGAAAAATTTCTTTCACCATTTATCACCGAACGATACGCTGATAGAAATAATAGTGTATTACTTCACTTTTGAGCCACTCACAAGAATAAATTTGATTTGCAGAGGGGTAAGAAATTCGACCTGTGAAAGGGTGAATTAGAATTCGCAATGAGGAGAATTTTATTTGCAAAACGGTCAATATTACCTACAAAAGGGGTTAATTTGCTACATCTGACGATTTATAGTAACTAATGCTTCCTAAAGACCAAGGAGAAAATCGTGAGGCAACGTGTTAATGAAACACAATCGCAAAATAAGATTCTCTTGTTATATAAAAGGTTGAATAAATCTGGTTACTCGCATTTTGAATCGAAACAAAAGGAGGAGGTTCCCTTAAAAAAACAAAAAAAAGAAAAAGAAGAAGAAAAAAGAAAAAGGAAAACTCTGCTAATTATTGGAACAATGGTATAAACGTGAAAGTCGTATCACGGACCCGGAGGGGGTCTGATGATCAGCCAGCACGTGCGTATTATCAGTGATAGGCGAAGGCAACGTGAAAATGGCCCGAGGCAAGAGGATCTTTCCCTCGCGTGTATCTATAGCTGCACTTTGTTCGCGGTAACTGTTGCCCACCGACGCCAACGGCGGTGAGGAGAGAACCGTTCAAAGGGGGACCGTAGAAATAGTCGGCAGAAAGAGAACGGTTATTATTTCACCGAGCAGATATCGATTCCATTCGACGACCTGCCGTGACCCGGCTGCATAACTCACGACGACGCGTACGCTAATCCTTCTTCTCTTTCTTTTCCAATCCACGCGTGGCAGAACGCGTGCGTTCGTTCTTTTTTTCTGGATGACGGCGAGAGGGGGGCACGTTTCTCGTGTCTCCGGCCCCCAAGATTTGACGAAATCCTTTCCTTCGACTTGGCAACGAAGATAAAAAAAAGAAAAAGAAAAGAAAAGAAAAGAAAAGAAAAGAAAAGAAAAGAGAGGAAGATAGAGGATAAAGTATGAAAGGAGACTGATTATTGTGAGTATTGATACCGATCCTCGAGATGCCTGTGTTTTTTTCGTGGTAATCCAACAAGAAACTCAACCAACGTTGGGGCGAAATTTCGACTCTGAACGCGAATGAATTTTTAATTTTTATGATAGTCCATTCCGCCATCACTGACCCTATTGATCGAATCATTTTCTGAACCCGTTGATTCGTTTTTCGAAATCTTTTTTGAATATTTCTTGAATTTTGACAGGGGCCTGGAATGTTTTTTTTTTGTCTTTAAACAAACTCTGATTTTTCAAACCTAACCTAACTTAATTTTTCAAATCTAACCTCGAATTTTTAAGAGAGCAACAGTTATGTCTGTAGACGTTTTTTTGTTTGCGAATTGCAACAGATTGAGAAAGATTTTTTATTTCAATAATTTCTCGTCGCATAAATATTCCAATGTCGGATCTTTTTCGAATTTTCCTGGCAACATTTTGACTTGAGCCCAGGACAAACTTTATATTTCCTTTAAATGAACTTTTAATCTTTCAAATAAAAATCTAATTTCAAATTTAGCCGATCTTTTCTGAATTGCGATAGATTGAGAATAGATTTTTCTATTATAATAATTTCTCATCATATAAATATTTCACCGTCGAATAGAAAAAAAAAAAAAAAAAAATAGAAAAAGCTCGTCTTGATGGCTAAAGTATATTGTATATCTTTAACATGTAATTATACTGCAATACGTCAATAAATTCCCGTGCTCGAAGGTCGTCACGTGAATGTAATATATATATATTAATAAAAAAAATTAATTTCTGATATTTGTCGTTCCTTCGATTTATCATCTTTACCATGAAGCGTCGAGTATCGTCGAAGAAACGCCCCCTCTTTCCTCAGATCAAAAGCCAAAATATTTTGACAAACTCCTCCGGGAGAGAAACTCCGAAAGAAAACAAAAATGAACGTCGTTCCAAAGCATCGACGAAGAACGAAGATTAAAGAGTGAAAAAATAAGAAGTCCGGGAGAAAGAAAACGGACAGATAAGAAGGAAGATAAGGACGAGTACGGCGGATAGGTGTAAGAAACGACAATGACGACGACGACAAATCGAAAGACAATGCCTTTCTCCTTTATTTGCTGCGATAAGAGTGGCTTGGGAGGTTGGTCCGTGATATCTCGGGGGTCCTGTAAGCCTCTTATTCGTCGGGCGGATGGCGCAGGATGCGCCAGACGTACGAGACGTCTAAAACTTTCGACGACATACGGCGTTGCACTGTGCGTCGGGATTACGCCAAAGAGAGAAAGACAGACAGAGAGAGAGAGAGAAAAAGGGAGGCCATCGTGAATGGGGCTGTTAGGGAAAAGGGGGTCAAATGCAAGCGCCTCTGCAACATGCAGTGTTACAGCGGCTGTATATTAAAGAGGGAATAAAAGGGGAGAATAAACGCGCGAGACACGAGGAACGAGTTGAAATTGGAACGGATGAAAGAGCCGAGAGGGACGAGAAACCGATTGACCGGCCAATCTGGGGGGGGGGGGGGAAATTCAGAGCGGAGAAGAATGACCGAGCAGAGAGAATTGGTGGGGGAAAGTCTCCGAGGTTTGAAAGGGCACAGATCACCTACAGTCTAAAAGATTGCTCTCGTGATCAAAGAGACTTCGTCTCGCTCGGTTACGCGCCCTGACGCGGAAATTTGAGGTTTTCTTCAGTTTACCAACTTTAACTTGTGTCGCCGAACCAACGAGAAATCCCTATTTTTGTCAGGTAAATACGTCGCGCGAGAAAACCATATGTCGTTCGAAGAAACATTCGCGCGTTCGATTTCCCCCATTTCGTAAAGATTGATTCGCTATTTTTAAAATAAAAAGATTCTCACTTCGATTTTGAAAGTGGGAGCCAAAGTTCAGTGCAACGATAATCGTTAATTATAGTTCTCGTCAAAGCGTATTGATCTTTGTGGCATTAGATTGATCAAAAAGTAACTGCGTTTTTCGAAAGACGAATTTTTAAAACTTTTATTATTAAAACTGACCATTTTGTTTTAAAATTCAATTTCATTTCGAAATCGAAACGCCGAAAAAAAAAAAAAAAAAAGAACAAACGTACAATCAGGTATCAAACTGCACGATGAATTTACAGTTTAAAGTGAAGTTATTTACATACGTAAGATGCGTGTGTATGTTCGTTTGTTAGGAAAGGAGGAAACGCAATTACGTTTCGGCCAAATCAGTATTTCAGCAGCAGACATCAAAGCAACGACGGTGACAAATTTTCGGGGGTTTGTCGACTGAGAGAAACAAATTGGCCGTTTCAGTTTGGTTCGGCTGTAATTGCCAAACCGGCAAGCGGCACTTCGATTCGATTTTTCGCCCTCGTAACTCGAGCTCAAATGGCCCGCGCGTGGAGCATTTAAAACGTACGTAGCAGCTGCGAAACGACGCAACAGCTGACGCATGTACGTACATAGAAGCGAGAATGCTTTGTAATTTTATCGTTTTTTAATTTGTTGCTAACCCAAACCTGACGTAACCCTATGCAATAATTAGCCAAGTAGAACTGGCTGATATCTTCAATATCTGGCTGAACAATCGTTATTCGTCGAGTGGCTCTCAATAATAATTGCGTCGAATAATTGGCGATCGATTGTTCGCCAATTACAGAGATTTGGTTCAAGAAACCGCAACGACTCGCGAATCGATTTCTCTACATACACGCGTGCCTAGAGAACCGTGTAATTCGCATTGTTTCAGCTCGTTACCATTTTCTTTTCTTTTTTTGTCAAAGTAATCGATCCGCCGAAATCCCCGATTTAAGCTTAATTAATACCCGCCAGTGTTTACCGCGCAATTCGGATGTCAACTGATTAATAAAACCTTAATTGATACGTCGAGCGGATTGGAACGCCGCGCTTGTCGTTACGCGCTTAATGAACAAGCGATTGGCGGATTACTTTGATTGGAAATGATCCGGTTTCATTTCGCCGGCAGAAGAGAACAGAAAGAGGAAATCCCCTGTTAATGTGTCGTTCATCGTCGCAACCGCCGTACTTTTAGCCTTCGTTGAAGAGTGATCGATGCTGTTTAGCGAACAGGATTGCCATAGGTAAATCGGGGCCTTTAGCATCGATCGTTGACGTGTAATGATTATAGACGAATATTATTCGGATCATTTTGCAAGTTTGTCGATAATTTTTTTATTATTCCATATTTTCTAATTTTCATATCTGCTGATAAAAAAAAGTGGATATTTTGGATTCACGATCAATATTTCGGAATCACCCAATAATTACTTGGCCCCAATAGTCTCAGACAGACTAGAATAACGTAGAAAATGAAAAAAACTCGTTGCCAACGAAAATAACCACTTGATCAAAGCGCTGATGAAAGGGACAAAGTGACAATCGAAGACTTGTTAACCTCTTGCGCACGTCGAGAATTTTTTGTCCCAAAAATCGCAATATCTCCTCAGTTCCTATGTATATTTAACTGCAACCCGAACAAATAATAAGTTTATTACTTCTCAATCATTTCCATCCGGCGATGTCATTCTACCGACGAGTTCAAATTGTGAAAGAAAGCGACCGAATTCTGTTGTACGCGGTTCGGTCGCTCGTTATGGTCCGCAATCGGTTGCCAACAAGCAAAACGTTCGACCTGCTGTTCGCGATGCACCGTTTGGACAACATCGAACCGAAATTCCCACCGACTGATGAAATTTATTTCGCGGCAACATTTCCATCGGGGCTGTTAACCTGTTTTGGCAGCGGTGATTTCGGAGTTTATTTAAAGGAAACGAAACAACCGGCGAGCGGTGGCTATCGATCTCTAGCCAAGTTCGCTGACCTTGTGATGAGAGGAATGGCCTGTGTGATTGGCGGAGGTGTGATTTCCGGCGGGAATTGATGCCAGGTCCTCGATGGTTAACTCGGCTAAGGCGTCGCTGCCACCGCTGCAACCGCCTAGCAAGCCGCCAGCGATGACGCCGCCGCTTCCTGGACTGCCCCCGATGCAACCTCCATCCGACCTTACAACGTTTGCCGAGGGTCTCTTCTGCACCCTCCTCGAGGTCACCAGTTCCTTCACCCCTGACAACTCTCGCCTCGAACCACCCACGTATCTAAAAAAAGAGGAAAAAAAAAAGAAAGAAAATGAGAGAAGAGAAACATGCGCCGCTCTTGTTAATGTTTATTACGCTCTGTGCGAGAAGAACAACACGCTCATAAAACTGGTTAAAAATGGCGCCAACCTGTCCTTCGTTATTAACGCTAGAACTACCAAAGTGGTAGTCGAAATTTATTAATTCTCTATGGGAATTTTCTATGTTTATATACGGCAGTATATTTTTGGATGGTGATTTTTAACAAAATATGTTGATAGAAGCTTGTGTTTTTTATTATCAACTGTATTAACAACTGTTTCCTGTTTCTTATTTCACATAATGTAATGCAACGTTGTTCTTTCGATACTGTGCAAAATTTCATTTAAGATTTAATACAGTTGTAGTCTATGATGTAATTTGACAATAGGAAAGTTGAATGTCAATATATTTAACTAGAATATAGTATAATAATTAAATTTGAGAAAATACGACATTAATTATGGGTATATGGTTCTAGTATTAAAATTCGTTCGAGTTCGACTCTTTATCTTGCTTATATTTTTCTACGTTCAGCGAAGAGCATAATGACAGTGAAAAATTGCCGACAATTTGGATAAAAATAAGATCCACTTGGTCTCATTTCGAAAGAGCTCCAACTGAAGCTTCTGCCTTGATAGTTGCACTGCAACCGTACTTTGTATTTTTCAATTACTTTACACAGCGTGAAACGTGGATGCTTTGTTTTTTCCTCGAAAGTTGTGAAGGTTCGAAAAGAAATAAAAACAAATTTATCATCAACTGTAATGACCAAAAATAAAAATATATTATCAGCCACAATGATAAACCATAAAATAAAAAGAGATTTTGAAACTTGGAATGTCAGTGAGAGACAAAAATAATGCTCGTTGGGTAAAAATATCGACGTAGCAAGCGTGCAATATCACTCAAACTGCAGAAATGCGACGTTGTTTACCAATAGCTGAGAAACACGGTAAAAAATGCAACGTGTCGTTTAAATGTTAATCAAAAACTTCTTCCGTCCGCTATAGAATAGTTCCATCTCTTCATCCCTTGGCGAGAAAGACTTTCAAGCAACGAACTAGACAGCGGTCTAGCTTTTCTATTTAGGATACACTTGGATGAATTAACGCGCGGAATATAAAAAGCTGGATGTTCCAGACAATGGCGAGTCTTTTTTGTAAGAAATCTTCGTACAGAACTGCTGCAGGCAGGCACTTGAAAAAAAAAAAAAAAAAAGAAAGAGAAAATAGCACGGTGGCTAAGAACTGTACGAAACCGTGTCAAACGAGGGTGGACTCGAGTCGCATAAAAATCGCCCTATTAGCGAGATTAGATCTAGCGGCTGTCCACTGATGAGTCGCTGACTTATTAACCTAGTCCTCCGCCTTCAAAAAATTGAAAATTTTTAAAAAAATTCCCGTGTCCCTGTGTATTTATGTAGATAGATAGCGGCTGAGATGTTCGAACGAAACGCAATCGATAAGCTGACGACGGTTGTTAAGCTGACGACGAAAGATTCTGCACGGGAGCTAGGACACGTTGACTAATTAGCTCGCGAGTGATGCAAGTCGGTGACTGGGCACTCGATCGCGGACCTACTTTTGCATAGGACAGGTCTGAAATTAGGGTCAGAATCGAACGAATTTGCAAAGATGAAAATCGGCGCGATTAATAATTCGCGAATCAGGGATTTGGATTAACTCTGCTTACGTGAGCGCGCTCGTTGGCGCGCAAGATTTTGCCGGCTAATGCGATCAACGCGCGTTTTGCTTCCGACAGCAAAGTTTTCCTGACGTTTTTTTTTACAAGCTTTCCTCGAATGGCTTTCTCTCGACACCGCTGCAATTACTTGTAACGCGTCACCCGTCACGTGGAACGCCGTTACAATCGATCATGCCCGATATTTTGCAATTCGACGCAAAGACGCCGAATGTTCGAACGAACGAATATTTCTCAAATATATGTTCAATGTACTGACAATAAGTTGAGCGACACACGAATTTGTTCAAAGTTCGAACGACTTGGTTGAAAGTCTGATTTGAATTTTGCACAATGCTGTTC